GTGGCTGGGATAGGTAGGTGGCAAGAGCAAAGAGAAAAGTGGACGTTTGGTGGAATGAAGGAATCCCAGGGAGTAATGAGGATCTGAATGACTGGAGAAAGGCCAAAGGAAAAAAGAATCAATAGAGTAAATCAAGAGAAAGAAATTTAAAAAGATAAAAGGTCAACAAAGGTAGAAAAATTACAAGAAAAGGCAAAGTGGAAGAGGAAGACAGAGGTGAAAGTTTAAAAATGGCATAAAGACCAGAAATAAAAGTGCATGAGTGAAGGAAAGAAATATCATTCCAGGAAGTTTCTGCCTCAACAGTCAATGACTCACTGCATCAAAGCCAAAATCCCAGCACAAAGCACACACTGATGGGCGTGGGGAGGAGAACCTCACTAAGGCTACCATGCTAGCTCACATCTTAAAGCCTCCACTTGAAAACAAAACAGGTCTGCTGCTGTGACTTACACCTGTAATTCCAGCACTTTGGGAGGCCAAGGTGGGAGGACTGCTTGAGCCCAGGTGTTTGAGACCAGCCTGAGCAACACAGAGAGACACCGACTCTAAAAAAAAAAAAAAAATTAAAAAATTAGCAAGGCATGGTAGTGTGCACCTGTAGTCCCAGCTACTTGGAAGGCTGAGGTTGGAGGATTGCTTGAGCCTGGGGGGATCAAGGCTGCAGTGAGCCGTGGTCACGCCACTGCCCTCCAGTGTGGGCAACAGAGCAAGATCCTGTCTCAACAACAACAACAACAACAACAAAAACTATATGCTATGGATTCCTAGAAACTGAACTTTTGTTCCTGGAGTTTAATAAAAAGACACAAAATGGTCCATAAACATACTACAGTGGAAAGAAAATGGTCCTGGCACACAGGAGCCCTGATGCAGGCTGCTGGTCACCAGACCAGACAGGAGGTCACCAAAGGGCTTTTAGCTATCAAAGTTTTTCAACAAAGAAATCCAGAAATCCAATGCACAAAACAGATAGGGTGGAGCTGCACAATTTGGTTGCCAGGTAGGCAGCCTGCCTTTTAGTCACTGAGTCCCCCCTCTCTGCCCCGTTACCAGGACATCTCTGTAGAACTCCTCTGTGAGAGGACTCGGACTGTCCAGCCTCCGGGCAGGTAAGTTCGGCAGTCTTCTATTTTTTAATGAATTGCTTGCCTAACCTGAAAATCAGGATATTTCACCAAAAAAAAGGTCAACATTCTTTTGAATAATTGGAGCTGTGGGCTCCTGGAAACAGCAATTGATGAGAGCTGAAAACTAGTATTCTTCAATGGGTCATCTTCTTTTTGCCACAGTCCATGTGTGGCTAACGTCCTGAATTCTCATTACCCATCTGATTTTACAGCTACTCCTGCCTAGCGAGGTCCACTGTAAAATCCCTGGGATATATATATGGCCTCTTAGGGATGTTCCAGCTCAAAACATTCTGCAGCTGTAGAACAATTATTACTATATTAAATTAAATCATTACTAAATTACAAATTCCTAGTAAATTCCCATTTTAGTAAGAAGTCACTGTTTTAGTCATTCTGTTCTCAAGCTATAGCTCTTATATTTGCTTAGTCAGAAACCATGTTGGCAGTATAATAAAATGAATTAGAATGTGGTTGATTGTCTTCTGCTGGTAGTTCTCATCCCTGTCCCAGCCACCTCCTCCCTTGCCCCTGCCCGCCATCCACCCCCAGCACTGAGAGGTTGCTAAGAGCAAGAACCCCTTCTCCTCCTGAGAACCTCACAGCCCAGCTCCACCAGCAGGCACAGGCTGATGTCTTCCTAGAAGCCTCCCTATCCTGGTTAATTTGTGTCAAATATCTTAGGTTTTTATGCTCCATTTACTCGGGTTAATCTGCAAATACTTACCTACTCTGTGAATGTTTTAGGATATATATTAGACACATCATCACTTGGGCCCTGGGGACAGATCCTTCATCCTATTGTTTAGTGGTTTCCTAATCACCAGGAGGAGCTAAAGAGTTATTTTCTAAGCTGCTATCTCAGACACCTTTTGCACTTCCTCTGATTTCCAAGTTAGATGGTAACAGGGAATGATGCACAAATATAATACATACACAATCTAAAATACTCCAAGTAATTCTAGGAGCATCCAATTTCAAAATTCAGCATAAAGAATACGTTTCCAGGTTGAGAGAATTCCTCCAGCATCACCGCCTGGGGTGGCTCCCGGCACCTTCTTTACCTATCTTGAAGGTCGAGTTGTCTTTAAAGGAAGACATTTACTACCCATTCTACAACGACTTTGAAATTCCATGAAATTATTCAAAATGCACAACAAGGTGAGGACACGTGAAGGGGAGGGTAGATTATGCAGGGCAGCCCTGGATTTCTAAACAATAGCTGCATTTCTGACCCCGAAAAGGCAACTGATTTATGGAAATGATTTTGATTTCATCTAGGAGAGGTTTTGAAAGGTATAAATAGGCATTGTAAGGTTTTGGCAAAAAGGAAACTATCAGTACATTTGAGAAAAGTGGCCAGGCGCAGTAGCATGCGTCTGTAATCCCACTACCAGGGAGGCTGTGGCCGGAGGATCTTTCGAGCCCAGGAGTTCCAGGCCAACCTGGATAACATAGTAAGACCCCATCTTGAATTATTATATACGTATGAGAAAAGTGGAGATTATAAACTAAAATCAGGATTTGTTCTCATGAAGACAGTCAAGCTTGGAAAATGTGGTCGAGGGGATGTGGATCTTGCATTAGTCAGCACCGGGAAGATGGCTTCGGGGAACACGCTAAGCCCATATTGTACGTCTGAGTTTTCAGAGCCTTGTTAATAGAGCTGTATTACCAGATAAATTACGAACAAGAGTGCGTTCAAAACCACAACACTGCCCCGGGAGGCTTACCAAAAACCCAACTGACAGGTGATAAAAAATTTTTAAATATGACTCGGTGCTTACGATATTAACTGTGCAAGAATGGGAAAGGTAGAAAAGACAATCTTGGCGAGTAGATCTGCTGCTCATGGCAGACACTAGGGATGGTACCTGGGTGTTCACTCTGCTCTTCTCTTTACTTTGGTTATTGCTTTTTAAAAACGAAAGGGGCAAAAAAGAAGTGGAAAGTCGTGGAGGCACTCGGCCCAGCCCCCACGTAGTTCAAGCAGAGCAGGAGGGAGCTGGCTGGTGGAGGTCCTGCCCACCTGCCACACTCCGTATTTGGGCAAGCCTGTGAGTCACTGTCGGTAACATGGCTCCCTTCGCTAAGGCCAGCACTGACCCACTATCCATGTATCGGTAAATGCAGGGAGTGTGCCACGTGCCTTGACAGTCCAGCGCGTAGACTTAAGAAGTCGCGGCTAGGTGCTCTTTTCCCCATTTTTTTTTACTTCTCTTCCGTAGCCCGGGAATTTGGGAGAGAAGACTATCGTATCCAGTTAGAGGCAGAAATGACACTAAGCAGCTATCAGCTCAAGATCACAGAAGAGATCCCGCGCGGTCCTCTCAACCCACAGCACCAAACGCCAGTGGGCGTCTCAGTGGGGCGCACCCGGAGCGCGGACCTTCACATCCTCCGAGGAACGCCGCACCCGCGTGGCGGGGGTGGGTAGATGGACCTCAGCGAGCCTCGTTTCCTAGTCGTGTTACGCAACAACTTTGCAGCCGTCATCTTCGCCCTAATTGTGCAGGGGGCGGCGTTTTGTGCGTGGAGCTTTCCCTCCCGGCTCCGGGCCGTCGCGGCTCTCCGGAGAGGCGCCGGGGCATTTTAATCGCTGCCTCCGCCGCGCAGCCCCGCGTAGCTGCCCGGCCGCGCCAACCCCTTCCCCGCCGCAGCGCGCCCCGAGTGTTGGCAGCTTGCCAGCCGCCACCCCCCGCCTTCCCTCCTGCCCACCCCAAGGTAGGGCTCCTCTCGGGAGTGTGCCGGGAAGGGGAGGCCGAGGTCCCTGCCACGCCCGGGTAGCCGCAGCCCGCAGTGCTCGGTCGGCAACAGGTAGCCCGGCCGGCTGCGGCTCTCAGGAAGACAAAAAGCGCCTCTGCGAGCGAGTGAGGGTCGCGGGGTGCGCAGAGCCACCGCAGCGACCGGGAGGGTGAAGGAAGCCAAGAGCGGACGGGGCGGTGGGACTGGGGGCTCCCGGGTTCCTCCGCAGGCTCGCTCCGGTCGTGTCGGCCGCGCGGGCCGTTGCGCAACCCTCGTTACGCCGGGCATGGGGCGCCAGCCCTCGCGGGCGCTCGGACGGCGGTGGCCCTGGCCGGGGAGGGACGCAAGCTGGTAGTGGCGCCGCCGCGGAGGGGGAGCTGAGGGCGGGGAGGAGGGGCGTGGCCGCGGAGAGCCCGCCCCGGCCCGCCCCTGCCGGCCGCGGCCATTGGCGGCGGGCCGGGGGCGGGTGCAGGCGCGGCGATTGGGGCCGCGGCCGCCAGTCACGCGGGGCTGGCGGGCGGCGACGTAGCGCGGCGCTCGGAACTGACCTACTAACACACATCTCTCGGCGCGGCCACGGCGCCCGCGGACCCGGCGCGCCCGCCCGCCTCCCGCGCCGCGCCCTCGCCGCCGCCCGCCTCCCGCCGCGGCCCCGGAGGCCCGGCCCGGCCCGAGCCCCGAGCGCCGGCGGCCCGACTCGCGGCCGCCCCTTTCTTTCTCCTCGCCGGCCCGAGAGCAGGAACACGGTAAGCGCTCCGCCCACCGCCGGCCGGGGGCCCGGCGACTGCTCCCCGGGCGCGCTGCGGGCGGGCGGGCGCGGGGTGCTGGCCGCGCAGTGTGCGGGGTCGGGCTGTAAGCTGGGCTCGCCAGCAGCGGCGAGTGCGCGCGGGGCATTCATTACATAAACTTTTGCTGCCTTGTCAGGATGGGACTCGCCACCTTAAGGTGGCTGCTTTGATTGCAGCGCCTTCGCGCCGGCACGTAGTCCTGGCTGGTTTGCGCTCTCCCCCCGCTGCTGTTGCATAATGTCTCCTGATTTCAGGAAAATTGATGTTTTGGTAGAGAAGAGCGCCAGGCAGGCTGAGCCCTCTCCGAGCGGGAAGATGCTCTTTCCTCTCTAATGTCTTCCTTTCTCGTTCCTTCTCTGGGGCTGGCGGCGTAGAGGGGAGAGGAATTGGGGGTTGAGGAATGGGGAATAGTCTTGATTTGCTTGGTGAGAAAACGGGTTGGTAGCGTGAACGGTGACGGCATTCGGAGAATGCCTGCGCGGCGTTTGTTTGTGTCAGGGGCTGTGCCTGCACAGACGTTTTCCACCCTGTTTGTCGTCAGCGTGTTTTACAAGCCCTCGGGAAGGTTGTGGGATTTGTCCTTTCATACATTGCATAATCTGCCCACGGTGAAATGTTGGCAAGGATTGCGGGCTGATGTGGGAATATGCGCGTATGTGTGCAATGATTTGGTAATTGAGGCGCAGCGTTGGATATTAGATCGTTATTTACGTCTATATTACGTCCCAAATAAACAGGTTTTAAAAAGATACTACGAAACCTAAAAGCAAGAATTGCTCGGGTTGAATTCTGATCTTGGGTACTACTGGGGTTCGCCCTTTCAATGTTCTCAGCTGTTATTTTTAAATCTGGGACGAACCATTGTGACGTTTACCTCCCCACCTTCCTAATTTTAATGCATTCCATTCGATCAGCCCTTTTTCTCACCTTATTGTCATCGCTTTTTCAGACACGACAAGACAAATCACATAATAGTTTCCTGGAAATGTTGCATTATGTAACTGCCGAATTTGCTGGCAGTGAGCATAGAGAGGGAGCTAATTACGTGATTTTATAATCTTGCTACAAAGAAAGTAGGACAGTCTCAGCCTTTAAGAATGTCACTATAACAGTTTTTTTTTTTCTTAAGGATATTTTAAACAGGAAAGTAGACAACCGGGTAAGCATGGAGTTTGCTCATGCTGCCGAATGTGTGTCTTTTGCCCTAAATGAAACGCGCGTTCTTCTAAATTTAGCCCTATCACATTTTAACAATTGTGGCCTCGCAGTGCTATTTCTGGTGTTTTCTCTAGGGCTGTGTGCAAATACAAGTTCAAGGCCATTTGCTGTAGTTTTAACTACACGCCTTCGGAGACCTTTGATAAGATTGTATTTTTAGGAAGGCATTTCGCAGCGCCCGGTGATTTGCTGGATGCTGGCTCCCATTTATGTTTTTAAAGGACACTTTAGGAAACTGCTGTTCTCTGAGAACAGCGGGGAATGGTCAAGTGCCATCTTCTGTTCTTGGCTTTTGTAAATAACAACAGTAAGTGAGGTCAGAAGTATTTATTTACCCCCAGATCAGATATGACCAATGGGAAACAGATATAGGTTAGTAGATCGTATTTTTGTCTGGATACCCTAGTTTTACTCATGTGAAGATGTATGAATATGTAATTTATCCAAATATTTAATTTCTTCCTGGACTGTTACATAGTGATTATGTGTGAATATATGTATATGATGGGATGTATATATCGTAACATTTAAATTAAGCGCAGGGGTTTTTTTTTGGTGGGGGGGGGTGGACGTCTCTGGAACAGAGGATATTACCCCAAATAATTGCAGTCGCTTTCCAAGAAGCTAGTTGCTCTAGGCCCCCAGCTTCAGACCCCGACCTACTTTGCGAGCTCGCGGGGGAGTCCCGGGCCTGTAGGGGCAGCGTGGCGCCACCTTCCGATCGGGATCTCCAATGGCGCGTCCGTGCGGCCCCCAGTGCGCCGCTCCCTCCTGCGGGCCGGTGGGGTCTGCGAGAAGCCGGGGCTGGGGGCGGGTCTGGTAGTGGCGGGCGGGGACCTCGGGTCGGGACCGAGAAGCGCCTCCGGGCGGCAGTTATACTGGGGCTGCTCGGTGGCCTGCGCTCCTCCCTGCCCCCTCCCCACATTCCTTTGTTCTGGCGCGGGGGGTCCTCGCGGCGCCGAGGCCCCGCTGCGCCGCCCACCCGGAGGGAGGGGGGTCTCTGGGAGGCGCCGCGTGGGGGCGCGGCCGGTGGAGCTCGGGCCCTAGGGACCGGCCCGGGTCGGAGTGCGGGTGCGCTCTGGGTTCGCCCGGGCCGCAGGAGCCGGGGAGCCAGGGAGCTAGGGACCCCGGCGCCCGCACGGGGCAAACAGGGGCAGCGCGGGCGACCCGGAGTGCCTGCGTCTCAGCGGCCCTCCCTCCAACAGGGCAAATCCAGGGGCCTGACTGCGCGCCTGTTCTGCGGTGAGGTTCTGAAACCTGCAGACACCTTTGTTCCAAGAGTCTTCATTGTATTTCTGAGCGAAGCGCGTCTCCATTCTTGAAGTGAAAAAGACCTTAAGAGAACCTCCAAACGTCCACCGACCACAGAAATTGGGGGTGGGGGCGCTCCAGTATTGATAGTGATTAAAAAGGAAGGCCTCAGCTTGACTTTGGCCAGTTGAGTTGAGCCGATTTTTTTTTTAACCTTTAATTTATATGGTCAAAGGCTAGAGAGAACACTGATCTCCAGAGTTCAAAATAAAATCAAAATACCCACATAGACGCTGCTGTCCTACTGTAAAACTACAGTACTTTCATCCTGGCATAAAGACTTCCGAGGTTGTACCCATGCGGGAACTCACAGGGAGTTCATGGAGACATCACAGATGTTCTCCTGAAGCATATCAACGCAATGTGCTCTTTGTTGAAAACTGACCAAAAACTTGGCTTCTGTGGGATCATATGCTACACCCCTATCCCTAATCAGTTTCCCTCTTGTTACAGGCAGTAGTTAGAGAACAGGCATCGGTGAGGTACAGATCCTAAGAGCACAGGCCCTGGGCTCACAAGAACCCTGGGTCCCAGGCCCCAGCTTGTTATCTTCCTTCACTGTCCTGATTTCCATCACTCTTCAGGGTAAACTGAGGGAATACAACCTGTTGACCTAGTTGGTTGTGAGGAGTTCAATAAATGTTTCCTGTATTATTGACCAGCAGCCAGAATATGTGTGTGTGTGTGTGTGTGTGTGTGTGTGTGTGTGTGTGTCAGTATTTACCTTCATTTTTCTCTTTGTAAATCTCTTTGCAGTAATAGTAAGGATTCATGTTGGAATTAAGTCTATAAGATCTTTCTTGGATACTTTTTTTGTTCTAATAATTTTTTTTTTCCTGAAAACTTTGCCATTGTGTTCAATGTTAATTTCAGTTTAAGGGGAATTCCTGACAGGATTGCAGAACCTCAAACTTCCCAAGTCATTGGGTTAATGTTTTGGGGAGCTGCTTGAAGGAATAGAGAGATGAGTCGATTATAGTAGCAGGAATGAAGTGACAAGTGCTGTATTAATAGCTCAGCTCTTTCCAATTCCCTTACACATTCTGTGACTCATTTTCTGTAGCCTGGATGATTTCTCTATCTAAAACTTTGTGGTCTGAGATCAGCAGTGGATGGTGAGACACCACAGATCAGCTCTCTTGTAGGGGGTATATGTAGCCTGAAAACTAAGGCCGGTCCTGTGAAAGTGTTTATATTTGACCCTTTTGACTAACAGAAGAAATTTTCATTTGGTTTACCCTTACTCTTGCGACATAGGTCAGGCTTCAGTAAGAGTCATGAGCAGCGAAGACAGCCTGGAACTGATAGGCATCATTGCCTTTTGATACTGATCATTCTTCAGAAAAGAGATTAAGAGTTAGTATTTACTAAACTTATACTCTGCATGTGCCAGGCACAGTGTTGAGGGGCTCTGTTATCATCCACATTTCACAGATGAGGAAATGGAAACTCGGAGAAATGAATTAGCAGCCCAGGTCGCAGAGCCTGAAAACCAGATGGGGAAATTTGCACCTCGACAAAGTGTATTCTCACACTCACTGTAGTTTTTGAAACAATCTCCTTTTCTGGGTTAAAGGCTTATTTTTGTGCAGTGCAGTTATAACATCACTGTGATGCAACAGCCTGAAAATTAAAACTCTTTGTGAGAGGCCTTTCGGACGTTGAGCAATGTGCCTGACTCACCAGCTGAGTGGATTTTTCTAGTTGACCTTGCCTTGGTCATTAGAGTCAATTTCGAGATGTAAATGCGATTGCAGCATGGAATGGAAAAGGTGCAGTCATATTGCCTGGGCTTTATTTTTACCCAGGTTAAACTCGTATACTTCATGATTTCCATTGTAATCCAGATGCCATTGATGCTGTTAAAGTTGTTTATTTTTAATTTGTATTGAGGAATGAGAGCACACTTGGGATTCAATTCAAAATATAACAGAAACAATGTAATTGAAATTTCCTTTAATATTCATTTCTTGTTTTTGTAAGGTATGCCTGTATTTCACAGGGTTTAACACATTGTTTGATATCCTGTTATTTTTCTAAATTATATTTGAGTTGATTTCTATCCAGGTTGGACTTGTATGAGAATGTTGAAAGACGTTGACCTTTGATCACAGACATTACATAAGAATTTTTCAGTTTCAAAATGAATTTTTATTACTACTACCCCCAGTTATCTTTCACATTTCTTTGTAAGTAACTTTACTGTAGTTAAAAAAAACACCCAGAACTGTTTCTCGTATGGCTTTAATAAGAGAGCATAGCTTGTTTTTATGATAAGAAAGTTTACTTGAGATTTGCTAGATGCCATTTGTTAATAATCTGTGCTTTGAGGACTCAGTTTCATAGGACTCAGAGTGATGTTTATAAGCCTTTTAGTTGTCAGAACATGATGTCTTTTACTAATTAGCTTTTTAGGGGTCTTAAACTGTAATTAACTGGCCTTCAGATAAACACTAAAAATAAGCATTTAAAAATCTACTCTATTCATAAGGTAGAAAATGACATTTATAATCATCCACTGACTAGAAAAGTGGAAAAAGAAATTAAAAAGCCAAGTGAAGCAAGTTGGGATGCTTCTACATTATCATTAGAAACTTTCAAGAATTTTCTCGGCCTGACTGCCCCCCCAGCCCACCATTTTTGCCATCATTACACCATGTTGCATGTATTACTTATTCATTGGAGGATTTCCTACAACTGGGTTACTTTGTGATTGTTGATGTCCTTTTAAGGTTTCAGATTAGTTGCTACACTGATCAGTTATCTTTTCAGAAGTTTCAAGATATTAATAGTCCCCACTTTTAAGTTTCTATAGATTTTTAAAAAATTATTACTGTTCTGTTTTTCCCCCATGTTACTTCCCATCTTTAGTGGGAGCTGTTCTTATTTCTCAAGCTGTGCAGTTAAGTGTTTGGTCATGCTAGTGTGTATGTGCTTACTCTTTGCAGACTTCAGAATAATTTAATTGTGTATTAAGTTACAAACACTGATGACCTCTTGAAGAATGTTAAGTTATACTATTTCATATTTCAATTACTTAAATTACATCAGTGATGTAATAAAATGCAGTGTTGTCATTGTATTTATTAAATTTAAATTTAATTTTCAACTAGTCCTTTTTTGAACTTGAAATATTTTCATTTATCATAAACTGGAACAGGCTTTGACACATTTATTTACGGAGGCACCCAAATAGAAAAAGTAGGTCAATTTGTTGCTATGATAGAATAGATTCTGGCAGTGTGCAAGTGTGTGTGTGTGTGTGTGTGTGTGTGTGTGTGTGTGTGTGTGTGTCTTGCCTGTCTTGATCAAGTACACATTTCTCTCTAACTTTGGGGTAAGCTGCTTCCTGGGGACAGAATGACCCTTAAAGAGGTTTAACATAGTTTTCTCAATTTAAAAATCCTTTTCTTTTTCAATGGGATTAGAAAATTCTCTTGCAACTTCATTGTTTTCTAACTGAGTTTTTTCACTCCCCATTTCCTCTGGGTTGTACACGTGTAGTGACTTCTTATTTCATCTCTGCTTTTAAATACTAGATTGTTTTCTCATCCATGAAAAGAAGTAAAGCATTTCATTGACACAGATACTGTGAATTTTACCCACAGGAAGAAAATGTAGGGTTAACATATTGCTAGTATTCATACTTTAAAAGTATAAAGAGTTGTGAATTGATTAATTGATTTGATTTTTTCATGAAAATGACATTTATCTTAAAAATAAGCATCTGCTGTCTTACTGGAGAGATGGCTTACAGTTTAACATAATTTAAGCTTACCTTGAAAACATTTTTCTTCCTTTACTGTTATCTATATTATACAACAGGGAGAAAACAATACATTCAGAGAGGAGAGGGAAAATAAGATAATTCTATAATGTTTCCAAATCATTGGGTGGATCAAATAGTATTTCATCTTCTATTGACAGAATTTTAAAAACAAAATATATATAGCAATTTGCCATAAAACTTATCCTTTAGAGATAATTAATAACAAAATGTTCTCAGAGTAGATTTTAATGTTTAGACTATTAGTAAGATTTCAGATGATTGAAACAAAGCA